GGGGGGGGGGGGGGGGTCTCTTTCTCATGCAGAAAGCTATTTACAGGGAAATGCGATGGATTAGCTGAAGCTCATCAATAGGGAGCGCCTGCTCACCCGGTGCTTTACAGACTGGCCACCAATCGAAGGGAATTTCAATATTTACCTACATCCTCGTTTTGTTAGTTGCAGTTAAGCAAACACGCAATTCGCTAATTCATGTTAGTGGATGAGTGAGACTTGTTTAAGTATTTTCCTTCCACGCTAATGATGATTCATTTGAATGACTTTAGGTGTGAATTTTGACTCACGGGCCATTGAATACAGATAAACAACAGGGTGGTTCGTTTTAACATCTATCCATGAGCCAATTTAACGATCATATTACAATTACATTAACTGGGCAGATAGTTTTGTTCTGACCTATTGTACATATGTTATTTGTCTGTCACACACACACACTCCTGCAAACAGAAGTATATAAAATGTATTCACACACTGTTGGAGTGAGATGAAATACACAAGGATTAAAGGCACCCAACACCACAAAGTCACATCACAAAATGCCAAAACAGTCAAAAGTGCATTCATCAGTCTACATGAATTAAATCGATCGTTTCATGTATTTGTTTTATACAGTGTGGCTCCGATGGCATTAGTACCCCTGCAGAGGCAGATCATGAGGAATTGTTTAGTGTTAGGCTGTACCGGAGATCTTTGAGTTCTGAAAATCATTTTCGAGCTGAGGTTAACAATTGTTTAGGTCCTTTTGATGAAGGAAAGCAAAGCAACAAATTACTGAAAAAGTCTAGTTTGTGTTGGCCGCTACAAAGTATTAACTTAAGGGGGCTGAATAATTTTGCACGGCCAATTTTTCAGTTTTTTATTTGTTAAAAACGTTTGAAATATCCAATAAATTTCGTTCCACTTCATGATTGTGTCCCACTTGTTGTTGATTCTTCACAAAAAATTACAGTTTTATATCTTTATGTTTGAAGCCTGAAATGTGGCAAAAGGTCGCAAAGTTCAAGGGGGCCGAATACTTTCGCAAGGCACTGTATAAATTGTGAGACACAATATGATTGGCAAACAGGACAGCCAATAAAATGAAATGTAAAATCAAAAAGTCATGGTTTGTTATGTAATGTCTGATCAAAGCCCATGTTGTCATCCTGTCTGATGGAGAGGCACTAAGCTAACAAAACTAGCTTTATTACTAGCCAGCTTTATTTTCTTTTTCATCTGATTTCTGTAATTGATTTATAGTGTACATGTGGGGAGGTTTGTAGCAGCCACCTGCCCAGCACCAAACAGCACACCGAGAAAGCTAGAAATGGCCTAATGAACGTAGTGGAGCCCTAAGCAGCTGAAGCGCCAGATATCTTCCTCAGGAGCCAATACACTGTCATTTTAAATAGTTTCTGAACTGTATGAGGTGATATGTTTTAAATCTAGGTTGGCATTCACATCAGTATGAGATGCCAAATTAAATGAACTTGTACTCATGCAGTGCCATTCTACACACTTAAAACACTGTACAATATGCACATTAACGGTGTTGGCTGCAAAGACGCTTTACAATCATTTACATGCACACATGGCCACCAAGAGAAACCTGGGGTTCAGTGTCTTGCCCAAGGACACTTCAATATGTGGACCCACTCTACTTCTTAGGCCACAGCTGCCTCAAGGTCTAAACAAACAAACATACAAAGTGCAGAAAACACAGACACAACGTGGTTCGATTTAGGATTCAGTTAAAACACTAATCAATTTAAAAGCACAACATCACAGATGAACACCTCTCTCTTGTGGGAAAGGCCGGTGTTTCTGGCCCACTCATCCACCCCCACCCTCCTGCTAACATGGACCTTCTCCCTTCAGATACTATGTCACCATGAACACACAGCTGCACCTGGTGCTCTGGGCATCAAACACTGACCCGAGTGGGTTAACACCGTTCTCTGTTGGAAAATAATGCCGTTTAGTGTGTGTATGAGACAAAAAGGTAATTGGCAAGATGCTAGTATTTGACACCCTGATAGTGAGAATGGGTTACATTTCTCAAGGGATGATGTTTTCACTTTTTTTGAAACAAAAAAAAATCAACTGTTGGATCATAACTTGAGGGAGGGGCTTAGTACTGTTGACATGGGCTGATGGCAGCAATCACAGTTAGCCTTTCACTTTTTAAATATTCCATACATAATCTGTCTTTTGTGGATTACAATTAATTATGTCACATGTTCCTGGAGCAACAAGGTCACGATGACACGGGTGCTTTCATTTTTTAAACAGTGTTGCTTTTTAGACTAAATGTCTGGGAACAGATCGGCTACAGATAGAAAAAAAAGTGACTACTATTTGAGTGAAAGATAGGCAGGCCTGTCACACACATTCCCTGCAGTAATCCATGTAGTACTTCTGACTCTGTCCCATATGTTGTGATCAAACACATCCCCAAAGCAGATGTGGAGCAACAAACCAGTGGTGGGTGATCTATCTCAGCATGTCATGCAAATTCTCAGTCATCCAGGTCATAGTATGCTGAAAAAATGTAGAAGAAATCATCTGGACATAGTTTTAGGTAGAAGATGTTTCACCTCTCATCCAAGATGCTTCATCAGTTCTGTCTGACTGGTGGTGAGCTGGAGATATTTATCCCCCTGAGTGGTGTTTCAGTGCTTCGACAGCCAACAATGTCCTCTAATAGTATTGCTGAGAGTCTCACCGTTACCATTAGAGGACATTGTTGGCTGTCGAAGGACTGAAACACCACTCAAGGGGATAAATATGTCCAGCTCACCAGCAGTCTAAAACCAGGTCCAGATAATTTCTTCTACGTTTTTTCAGCATTTATCTCAGAGGCAGTTGCCAAAATCATAGTTGAACTTATTTTGTTCATGATGAAAACACATAATGTACACAACTGAGTCATTTAAAGCAGTAATTTTGTTATGTATATATGTGCCTCTTTTAGCTCTTAAATGGGAATACGTGTATGATCCCTTTGGATCCTTATGCTGCAAGTGGCAGATGGGCCGGAGGCAGTGATCAAATCTGCTGCTGTCTCACTAATCGACTAATATGATCTGAACCACAAGGATCTCCTGTCATGGAGGACCAACCAGTTCACTCTGTGGACCTGCTGACCTACTTTAATGACAGTGGTTCCTTGGAGGAAGTTGTGTCTAAGGTACTGAAAGTGGTGGAGCATGCTTCTGTGTGGGAGAGCAACTAGATATTCAAGCTGCCTACTTCTGAAAATGTGATTGTTTTCAGTTTAGGTTTAATCTGTTTACCCATTTGGGAACCTCTCTCCAGCAGTCCACTACATAGGGTTTCTATGTTGTAACTAATGGCTTTGTTACTGGATGGTAACTCCTCTTCAGATCATCATAAAGCAGCTGCTGGAGGCAGCCATTAATATGCGC